CCAAAAACTGGCCCACTGAGAGGGCGGCAAGACCAGGTACATTGTCGTGGTAGCAAAGCCAGTCCCCCGTCTACCACAAATCAGGCATTTTTTGTCGCACACTGTTTCACAATCTTTTGAGAACCTCTAAATAGAAAGCTTGATGAACAGTCTGACCTGGTGGAACCAAATGCACGACATGCTGACATTTTTGTTTGGGAAGTAGATGGATGTCCAGAATGAGGTTTATTATAAGTCAACATTTCACCTTTTTTTGAAATGAGAAAACCACTCATTTTCAAACTTGAGTGTTTCCCATAGTGCTGTCCTTGTAAGCTGTGTTCAACATCACAACAGTTTCTGCAGCATCTTTCTCAAAAAGGAAATAAAATTTCACAGTTATCTGCTGCTCTCTTAAATTAGCCATCACAGAAAAAAAGGGGGTTTGAGCAAAACTGCTTTTACAAAAAAATTCTCTGTGACCAGAAAGAATGGTCCCAGGTGATGCCACTGGGTGCACTAACTCAGAGAGAGTTGCTGATGCTTACCTAGTGTGAACATGTGCACTAGCAAAGCTCCACCAGTGGAGCTTTTTTCCAATTGTCTTTGGATAACCCCTCACGGATAGCATGTTATATCTACCATTACATTAAAAAAACTGTATGAAGGGGCTTCAATATTTCATGGAAATATGGAATTAAAGGATAGTGGAATTTTCCATGAACTTTTTGAAGTCTCCTTCTATACAAAATCAACAATATTTCTTAATGAATCCATTCCTCTTAAAATTTTATTAAGTCATACCTTGGAAATCAGAAACGTGCATAAGTAATACATAATGAATTTGGAAATTATATAATGGTAGCCATTGTGCCCTGAGAAATAAGAGAAAGTGAGAGGTAGCGGGCTGCTGCCTCAGTGTGACATACTTTTTACTCTACTGGATGTAATCAGTAGATTCTCATCTTTCCGTCAGACACTTTTTTCCCTTTTAATTTTGGTCATTTAAGCTTTGTGAAGCAAATGTTTACTGAAGCCCTACTTAGATTGTGTTAGTCACTTTCAAGAACCAGTTTTGGGTTTTTTTTTCCAGTCTTTATTCTTGAAGAAGTCAAAGTCTGCTGGAAGGCGATGAACATGTCAAGAATGGGGGTGAGGGAAGAAAAACAGTACAATATACTAAATACTGGAGGAGAAGTATACCCTGTACCAACGGCAAAGATGTGGAACAAACTGACTCTGTTTCTTCCAAGAGCCGCTACCTCTGTCTCACTACTCCTTCCTATGTTCTGATAGAGAATGCGGGTTCAAGCCAGTTATTTACAAATGAAAGGGCAGAAGATAGCAAAGGTAAAGGGGAGGATGAAAGGGGGCTAAAAAAGGAATGTGGGGCAAGAATAGCACAGGTAGAAAGAACGGAGGGCAGGTAAACTGCAAAGGTTGTAAATTGCTTTAAAGTGCTTATGTGTGCCTAAATACGTGTATGTGTACGGAAACGGGTCAAGTTTACACAGGCACATGGTTAGACTTCCCTGGGGTAGTAGAACTCAAGAATTAGCAGGGCCGGAATAGAGAGACAAATGAGTGTGTGTGTTCAGATTTCCTGGATTCTATACAGGGGTATCAATTTCCCTTCACATAAGTAGGGACATTGATGTCAGTAAGGAACAAAGGTTCTATTAATGCTTATTAAGTGATTAAGATATCCTGGTGTGGATTTCTTCTGTTCAAACTGTTTCATTATGTATTATAAGTGAAGTTATAATATGTAAGATCTTGTCTCTCATTTTATATCTTAGATAGTCTAGAATCATCTATGCTAATAGTTCTATTAAGTGTAGAAAAGCGCTCAAGAATAATGAAGATGTTCTCATGAATAAATGCCAGTCTCTGCCCAGAGTCCACATATTTGAAAAACCAGGTAAACAGGAATGGTGTTTGAGTTTCCTTAAAAAAGTAGAAATATCTATATATGTAAAGAAGTTTTTCTTTTTGTGTTATGTTGCTTAAATAACTGCCTGAAGCAAAACATCATGGTATATATTTTAAAAGCCCTTATTGTATTGATTTACATGTCTTCACAATTTCATACTATGGAACATTGAGGGGACTGACAACCAAGATTGCATAATCACATGCCACCTCAAAATACGTAAATTATGATCTTCAATTAAAGACATTTAAATGTACAAGTATGTTAGTTCTTTAATGAACCATCAGTACAATAGTTTACTTTGATCACATTTTCAAGATTATGTGTGATGCTGTCACTACAGTCATAGTTTTCTTCTCACTGTTTTCAGACTGGGAAAGTCGTGAACATTATTAAAGAACAGTCTAGTAGGAGTCCTATCTTCAAATATTCCTGAGAGCCTATTGTTTCCACACAGACTAATTAAAGATGACCTTGTAATCCCAATGGGCACATTCACAATATTTAACATTTGATATACCTTTGCCATTATCATCCGTGTCACACAAGACCATGTAGAATTGCACTGACTTGGTGTACAATTTTTATTTTGCCAAATTTGTGTCATTTCTAGGATGTAATTCATGTGAAAAACATTTCTATTTGAGGCTTTAGACACTGATTACAAGGGATAAAATGGGAGCCATTAACTAGGGGAAATAATCTTTGATTTATTCCCCTCATCACTGACAGGATATGTTGACTGTTTCCACAGTAAACAGTTCGTCGATGAATATAAAACACACGTATGTTTAAAGTCTCATTTTCAAACCAAGGATTAAATGCTACCATAAAAAGTGGAAGTAAGCGCCCCCAATAAAATTATCTTTAAAAAAAAAAAAGGCAGAGGGTGGGAGGGAACACACTATGGGATAAAATTAGATGAGCAGCACAGCTATATGTGATTTTTAAAGTCAAGCCTCATGCATATCATTCTGGAACTGTTTGACATAGCACTAAATAATTTTCAAAAGATATTGTATATACACCACTGTATGAAAAATTATCATTGTTTCCATAAACCCCAGCCCTGCCTTAACCTGCATCTCATGACCAGAAGAATCATCTTTTCTAAATGTGGTCCCAGTGACATTGTTTTTCTCATTTGCTGCCTTTCACAGAAAGGTTGTGAAAATGGGTTCACTTTCCGACCAGCCAATTCCATGATAGCATTTTAACCATTGAAGAGATTTCATTAAAGCAACAACAACAAAAACAAAACTTGTTTCTGGTGTTAATTGTCTTATTAACCAGTTTGGAACCTCACATTTTCTGTGTGTACTGTAGCTTCTTATTCTAAGGGACACTAATTAGTTTTAAATGGTGTTAAATACCATCCCTGCAGTTGCAAGTGCTTCTCTGGGATTTTTACTAGAGAAAAGATCTCCTCTAATTTAAAACCACTTTGTTTTCTTCAGTCACAGATGTTAGTGAAGGGATGTCCAGTAGAATCTTATGGGTGTTTTGGCCACCTCACACTGCCATTAGCTTATACTTATTTGGGGGCATATCCCCACCCACCCACCAGGGCGCCACCGCAATGGAAACCGCAGAGGCTTAATTTGAGTCCTCCTTGCCCCTCTCCCTCCCCTTACAAAGCCTTGGCTTCCCTTAAAGAAAATTCTCCAACAACGTGTCAATTTTATATTGCCCACAAAGGCAACTTCTGTTGGGGGAGGCAGGGGAGAGGGACTGGAGCTTGGCTGTCCCTTTGCACAGACAGGGATCTTTGTGGCAATCGGAAAACATTTCCTGCATAAAAATCAACACATTCCCTGGTTGCAGCTTTTGGGAGAAAGAAGGAATACGTATCAGCACTGTCCTCACAGGAACGAAACCCATCCTTTAACCTTCCAAACAGGAAAGTCATTTTCTCAAAATATGTCACACTTTCTTGCTCTATTAAATCTAATCCACAATCTTAAATCCTCTGGCATCTCTGCCCACCAGAGACTGGGCAAAAGCTATAAATCACTCCAGGACTTTCATTCTTTCCTTCGCATTTCCGCATTTCCCTTGCACTGTTTGTTTGGGGGTGCACCCCCTCCCCCCCACAAGCTCATCTCTGGCAAGCTCGACTCTCTCAGGGTATAAGCACAGAGGACCAAGAAGCACCCAAAAGGTAAATGGGGTCTGAAAGGATCTGCTATTTTTTTTAGCACAAGCCACAGTAGTCTCATTAACTTGCCCCCACAAAGAGAGCAAGTTAAATCCCTGTGTTTTAATTCCAGTGGGGCCTCCCCCTCCAGCCTGCAAGTGACTTCACAGGCCAGGCAGACCCCAGAGAGTTTGTGCTTCCAGTTGGGTCCCACTGGGGTTCTGTTGACCCAGGACAGGGCAAGCTCAGTAGGTTTATAAGACAAAGCATGTCAAACAAAATCCAGGTGGGGGGTGGGGAGGCGGTTTATAGTCTCCTGTCTGCAGGTCACTTGGAACCTAAAAGGCTAGTTAAGAAGTTCAAGGTCCCTTTTAGTCTTGGGGGTTTAAGATGAGACTTGCCTGGGTGGTGAGGCTTGAGGGAGCCAGGGAAGGCGAGGGGGCCATGGGGATAGGAAGTGAAGAGTCTAGGCCTTGGCAGGAGGCAAGAGTCGCCTACAACTTCATTCCTCAGCAAGGTATGCATGGATGTGCATGTAGGTCCCCTCCAAGGGCTGCAGCCTGCACAAGGGACTGAGCATCCCAAGCCACCCTGCTTCCCACCTCCAGTGCAAGCTGTCAGCCACATTTCTGAGCCTTTCAGTCTGCACTTCCTTCTGGTGCATGTGATGGAGCAATCCCATTCTCAAAGTCCCACCATTAAAACCTGGAACCTTCAAACTAGTTTAAACGTTCTTTCTGAATCCGTAAAGGTCACAAACCAAATGAATTCAAAGATGGCAAAGTAATGGAGCAAAGATTAGGCCTGGGCTTTGAAACAGCCTGTGTTCACCCCATTCCCCAAAGTCAACACAGTCCTCATTCCCCACCCAGAACATTTTGATCCAAGCCCCCCCACCCCCCACCCTTCCACCTGCCCCACCCCACCCCCCACTGTCCTTTGGGCACTTACCTTCTTTGGGTGGTCGCTTGACCTCCCTGGTAAGATTGCAGACCTGGGTAGTTTGCAGCTCCTGGGTCAGGCAGCCCTCTGTCTGCTCATTCAGGGGTAACACCACGTTATTTAACAAAACCAGGGACTGGTCGTCGATCCCCCACTCTCCCAAATGCTGAGGGCAGGTGCATTTTGTATACATGATCCCACAGGATTCTGTTCTCCCATTTTCCGACTTTAGGCAGCTCTCCAACCAAGTGCATAAGACATGGCAACCAAACTGGCTCGGGCTCACCTTGTTCAACACCAAAAACTCAAAAAAAGACTTCTGATCTTCTTCCCCTTTTTTCTGTAATCCTGGGAAATCAGCTGGAAATACCCGGCGTATCTGAATAAAATTTTTATCATATTGTAGAAAAACGAAAGCATTCTTGGAACTGCAGAGTTGCATTATAGAATGGTTCTTTCTTAAAAGATCCTTTATCTTTTCATGAGAAAAATGATCAAACTGATAAGCCAGGAGGGAAAAGTTAGAGCAGCTAAGGTCCTTTTTGGAAAATTTCAGGTAAATGCTATATTTGGTTGGATCTGGATTTTCCAGCGTCCAAGTGCAGTTTGTAAAGTTTTTGGGAAACATTTCACTTACAGAATACGATCCATAAATGACTCCCTTCACCAAAGTTGAACACCAGAAGTCTTGGGCAGCATTAAATCCAAACATAACCAGGAGATAGGTGGAAAATATATAAATCAGCAGGTTACGAACAGCCTTCATCCTATGTCATTTGGCCTGTAAAAATGGCAATGAAAGTAAAATGCAAGTCGATGCGCATTGAAAAAAAGAAACTCCTTCCAATATTACAGCCAGCTGTTTTCAAGATTTCAGTAAAAACCCTTTTTAAAAAGAAGGGCAGGTGATTTTTATTTTATAACGCCAGGAAACTATCTGCTGCTGTGTGAACAGCGCCCTCACGTGGTCATACACAATGGCCAAATTCTCCACATTTAATTTAAAAATAACATTTAATAGAATATTAATAGGAATGCCCTAATTTATCTAGGAGGCTCTCCTACAAGTGCACTATGTGTGGACGAAGAGAATAAAAAATAGGATGATCTAGATCATAACCCAAATGTCCATTATTGGGATTTTTAATCAACCTATATAGTCTTTCCCCCTTCTTCAGTCTTCTGTCTGCAGTAAACATCATCACACAAAATCTAATCTGATAATCTGGGAACAGCTGTCACCACATTATTTCTTTTCTCTAAAATTTGAAGAGCAATTATGATAAATTATAGGCACAATTTTAAAAGCATAGATTATAATTTGTTGCAGATGGAACATCATTTCCCAAATGCCCCTACTTGCCTTTGCAGGGGCCACCATGTATATTGATGAGAAAATTCCTGGGCATCCCTCTGGACTGGCAGGATTTTAAAACTACCATCTGGGAGAGGGCTTAGATGGCTGGGTACAGAGCAGATACTTGTTGTTCAGCATCACCACTTAGAACCAGGACTGAGGTAGTCATTTCGATGTGACATGCCCTCTTGGGATAAATAAAGTGAATCACTGTATTAGTATCTCTATCCAAAAGCAATGTCAGTGAAAAATCCCAGAACCACAGTCAGAGAGCTGCCGTGTTTTTAAATGGTCTCTTTTTAGAAATTAGTGTTATTATAGCTGGGGTTATCTACTGTAATTTGAGATGTACACATGGCAGATACAAGATATTAATTAGCCTTTCCTTTCCTAGCAGATTTCAATGATTGAATTGCTCCCTTTCCAACCACAGTTCCAAAGCTCCTCTTTTCCTTCCTTTCTTTTTTTTTTTTAAATCTTGGTCTTGCATAATAAAGTAATCTTTGGTTATATTTACCTCTAGAACTTGTTATGCAAAAATAACTTCAATTTCTTTCCTGCTTTAACCTTTGAGAAGTTATTTCTTAGAATAAATGACACTGCTTTTTTATTTAGCCTTTGAGCTGAGGCAAGTGATGCCAAGATAATTTTAAGTCTTTAGGCTGCAGTCTTTTCCACTGTTCTGTAAACAGAGACAGACATACAGACATATAGATAGTTAAAGAGTTCCCATCCCTTTGCCTGGGGCCTCTTTGAAGCAGAAGGTAAAACCCTCTTCCTCCCCATTGCATAACACACACCAACCAACGCATGCACATAGAATCCAGGATCTAAAGTCTCTGAAGATAGAGCTGCATTTTCGAGATGGTAATTCAAATTCTGGTCTTGATACAGGCAAAATCAGCCCCAAACTCTGAATCTCTATAGAGCAGCAGTCTGAAATAACATCAGAATCGCTGGAACTATCAAAACAGTGTTCTCTGATGTCACGCATACAGTTTAATGAATGATACATTTTCTGCTTCAGGGAATTAAGTCAGCGCACATTTAAAGGTTAAAAAAAAGGAAAGGAAAGTTGTAGAAATTTCTGAGATTTTTCACCCCCTTTGCTGTAGCACTTTGCAGGCAATGCAGGTCTGCGCAGTGTTCTTCAGGATAGAGTGTAGGCGTTGAAAGCCAATGTGACAATAAGTGTCTAAATTAGGAATTCCATCCATGAAAGGGGGCTTCATTTTAGACTCGGTAGCTCAAAAGAGGTCGTATTTCGTTTCCTAATGAATCCTGGTACTTTTGCTTCCATGTATTTGACAGTGCATGTCTGCAGTGCTGTGCTGGGCTCGGCAAGGATTCGAAAGAGTGAGGAAATCGCTCAGATTTCACTTTCACGCCTGCTGAAGAAGAGAACCTCTGGACATCTTTAACTAGCCTTGGCGTCCAGTCTCCTTTCCTTCTCCACAAGCCAACACGTATCACTGAGACGCCCCCACCTCACCCCCACCCCCAGGACTGCAGGGTCAGTTCAAACCACTGCTGTTTCCCTGGTGGAAGAATGGGGGCGGGGTGGCTCTGGGGCTGGCCACCTAAGTCTCTCAGAAGCTGGACATCTTTATTTATTAATTTATTGGTCTCCTGCTGAGGAGCACAGGGGCGTTCAGTTGAGCTGTTCTCAAAACTGATTTTCGGGGTGACACTTTAGTTTAGCCAAACATAGACGGCGCCATCACTCCACGAAAAATTTTCCCCAATAGAAGACCCACTGCCTCCCCTTATTTTAACTTCCTATTAACCTAAAATCCACCACCGCCCCCACCCCATAAAATGACTTCAATCACACACAAGCGCCAGATTTTCCCCGACTCCCGGCCCGGTCCTTCCGAACCCAGCACATCGCTGGGAAACAGACTTCGCCAACTTTTCAACTGCGGCGTGGAAGTGAACGCAGCCCCTCGGTCCGCGGGCGGCGGCCCCCCCTACCCTGGTCCTCTCTCCCCCAACGCCGAGCTCCGGCGGAGCCCCTCGGCGGCGACCCTCCTCCCGCCCACCCCCGGCGGAGGGCAGGGGCCCGGGACCCCGTCCTTACCTTCCACTCCGAACGCTCCGGGAGGCTCTCGCTCTAAGCCACCAGCGCAGGCTCGCGTCCCAGCAACAGTGACCGAGAGACTCCCCTTCGGTCCCAGTCACCGTGGCCCATTTTCCCCGACTCAGCTCCCCACAGCAGGGTCGATTTTCAAAAATGCACACATGCACGAAGCCGACGGCAGAGATGGGGTGATCAAAAGAGGGGGTGCGAGGGGATAAAGCCCCAGGAGCCCAGAGCCCGGCGCCGGAACCAACCTCCAAGCCCTGAGGGAAACCCCCCCGAAGAGAGACTCTCAGGAAACAAAAAAAAAAATAAATAAAAACCAAGAAGTGGCTTCAGATGGAGGATTTGTTTTTACCAAATCTGTCCCCACAACAAACGGATG